CCCATATATGGTGCTTTGATGATAGTGGTACTTATAACCTGCTCCAATGCTGAATGACTCTGGCTATTGGACATCAACAGATACAAATGAAGGAAGGAGAAGGAGAAGCATGAGAAGCAAGGTCAGAATGAAACCAAATAAAATAAAATAAAATAAAATAAAATAAAATAAAATAAAATAAAATAAAATAAAATAAAATCCATGATAGGCACCCACAATCGATCAGTTGGGACCAAAGGCTTGTTGAAATAAAACTGTCTTAAGTTGATTGAAAAACATCAACAAAGTGGGAACTGTATTTCTAGAAGAAAAGTATTCCATAGGGTGGCACCACCACAGAATGGGCCTGCCATCCTACCACCCCCCACGTACCTTGCAAGGAGGGAGGAAGTAGAGCAGATCTTCCCTAGATGACTGGAGCAGATGAACAGGTTCAGATTTTCAAGGCATTACCTGATATCCCGGTGTTGGGCCATATATGGCTTTATAGGCAATAAGTACTATCTTGAATTGGGCCTGGAAACCTACTGACAACTAATGCAGCAATTTTAATATAGGTATAATTTTACACTGGTGCATTGTCACACCAGGAGTCTGACTGCCACATAGTGAAGATGTTCTCTAGAGCTTTTTTTCTTTTGATAAAGACACAATTACGGTAAAGTAAGAATCCAAAAGCAAAGCCTAGATGGTGTCCTTATAAAAAGGAGCCTATGCAAATCAGTTGAACCACTTCGCCTTATTTAAAGGATGAAGTTCCCAATCCAACCTTGCAGTCGCCAAAACCATAAAGCCTCCAGACCTGGAAAAGTGAACAAATGAAACCCAACAGTATTCCTTCCAACGCAATCAGGGAGATGACTTTTTGGATGAAGCTTCTCCTGCTCTCTGCTGCTTTCTCAGGTAGAATCTTTTTCCAGAATACTTACATGCATACATACATACATACAGATACAGAATGTGCTCTGTTTTCTGTCCAGGTTTCCCCTGATGCTCATTAAGTTTCTCGTTTTCAGGCTGCCACTCTGAAATTCAGCTGCTACAATCTGGAGGGGGACTACAGGTGCCTGGAGGCTCACTCACGATCACCTGCAAGGGTTCTGGATTTGACTTTAGAAACTATTATATGAGTTGGGTTCGTAAACAGCCAGACAAGGGACTGGAATGGCTGTGCCGAATTCCTAGTGTACCTAACCCCTGGTATAACCCCGCCATTGCAGGAAGATTTGTCCAAACTAGAGATAATGCTAAAGCTACAACCAGTCTGCAGTTGAACGAGTTAAAGCTTGAAGACTCTGCTGTCTATTTTTGTACGAGAGACACAGTGAGAGCATCTGCCTTCCTACTTGTACAAAAACCTCAGAGGACTCTTCGGAGCAGAAGCTGGAGGCCCACAGTCCATTCCTGCTGCCTCTGCAGCTGGATGAGGGTGACAGACAAGGACAAGTTGTCAAGATCTTAGAGAGTCAAGCAGGGTGAGAAGCCAAGAAGGAAGACGAATGGGGAAACTCATTATGTTTAAGAATGAATGGATGCCTGTATACTATATAAATTACTTGCATATGACAGTATTTTCCTTCAATAAGCGTTTTGACTGAAGGCATCGTGTTGCCATTTATTTATTAATAAAGGAAGGGTTTTGTACTGAAGACCCCAAGCAAAATTATATAGTATTCGATTTTCAACAAACAAGCATAACGTTGTCCTATCTCACAACTTGAGCTAGACAGCAAGGTCACATCCTTCTAGGATAAAACTTCACATACAGCTGGATAACTTATGAGGATGTTTCCTCTTGGAATGATGATGTATTTGTCATAAACATTTTATTGTTTCTTGGCTAAGCAGTGTAATGGGTGGCCTGTGGCAATTATTTATATAATGATTATAATGATAATGACATAAGGATTATAAATCATAAATGCAGACATACATTTTTCTTGTGCATTGTTTTTATTTAAGAAAGTTGGGTATGTAAACCACTCAAGTCAACAACTGGAGTAGCATATAAACTCAGTAAAGAGGAAATCTGCTAGAAATAAGCTTTTAAATAATAGCTCCAGTCTTCCCCACTTTTCCTTAATATGCACCATTACCAATTCCAAGCAGTTTTTAAATCAGGGGCATCAAAAATGTCAAGAGGACAGCCATAACTTCTTCTCTTTTGGGGCCTTCCATGGATGTCCCTGCCTGAAATGTACAGAACTAGGAAAAGCAATCCAACTGTGGTGTGAGAAATAATAAAGGATTTAAAAAAAATTATTATTTAAAGAAAGGCAACAAAGGGGCTGGGGGGGGAACAACACTTAGACTATAGATTAGCTGCATCAAGTTAGCTGAGACTGAAGATTGCATACAAAAGATTGCAATCATTAATCTGAGCAAAGGGATAAACAGAGAGAAAAAGAAGGAAAACTAAGGATCTAAATGATAAAACTGAGTAAAAACAGGACTGAAAAGAAATATTACATCTTGATATGACTACCCTAGATTTTCCCTGCTAACTTTACTGGTTCTAGTTCTCCCCATATTGACCTATGACTGCTGCTCTGTCTTGCAAGATAAGACTGGTTTCCATCTTGATGCTCTTCCGCAAGGCCCTGAAGACATGGTTTTGCCAGCGGGCCTGGGGATTGCAGGTTGATCCAGACCCCATCAAATGGCTAGTGTAAATGTGTTGTTGTCACCAAGGGGGGTGGGTGGGTGTAGTGGGTTTTGTATTTGGGATTTCTACTCCTGTAAGCTGTCCAAAGTCACTGTGAATGAGTTGGGTGGCCATATAAATTGCTGAAATAAATTAAAAAATAAAATACTGGCCAAAATGTTTCAGAGCTGACCTACATTGTATCCACTCTGATTCACCTTTCTTGTGTTAAAAATGTGAGAACCAGAAATGAAGTGAGAGCTGTTATCAACCATTCCACTCCTTTATCCATAAAGAGTCACTTAGGACAGGTAGACCACCTTTCCTCCACTTGGAATGCATGCAGCTCCTTGCCCACCTACTGCATGCATTCCAAGTGGAGCTAAATCCGTGTTTGGAACTGGAACCTTTAATCACCTATCACTGATTTAAGAGAAAGACACAGAGACAGAGAGAGAAAGAGATCCATGAGCAAATCCTTTAACAAGCTTTAAGAGTTATTTTACTTCCCATCAACCACTGGAGGAGGAGCTCATGTGAATTCCTACAGAATCACTAGAAATGTTCCACCTGAAATAGAAGCCCATCCAAGAGGAGGGCTTTTCATCTTGAGTTTAAAGGCCTCTCTTATACTGACATTATGCTGTTAGGGTTCTTTGAATTTTCTTTCACAGTCCTTCCAAGATGTAAGCAATGCATTCATTGTGGGAAATAAAGACATCTTTGTTGGGTTAACGATGTGATCTCTTGGTTGAAAATTGTTCTTTTTCTTTTTTCCTTTAATTTATTTTATTACATTATTATAAGACATACACAATACATTTTATTATTCTGATACACTGGTATTTATACAGTATTGACTAGAGATTATTAACACTCTAATGGTTAGATAACCTAGACCCTTAAAGACGGGGAAAAAAAGAAAAGCTATTATTCCAGTGTTAACTATGATTTGAAATGTCGATGTTAACAAAACATGTGATTGTTTATAGTTTACATCCAAAGCTGAATATAACATTAATAAACAACTGAAAACTACATCAAAAGATTTGTTGTACAGTAAAGGTTTCTGTCTTAAGCTGAATACTTAATACTAAGGTTTCCACTGTATAGTTACTTATTATTGTTTCTGCATGTTGAGAAAAAGAGAAAATTGGCAAAGCAAAATAGGTGACAACAAGAGGAAGAGAAGAGAAGAGAAGAGAAGAGAAGAGAAGAGAAGAGAAGAGAAGAAGGCTGTTTGGTTTCTAACTTTCCCCTTTTTGTGCTTCTGCTAATCTGCAATGTTTATAAACACCATTCTCTTTTTCAAGGGGTCTTATCAGATACTCAGCTGACTGAATCTGGACCAGCAGTGGTGAGACCTGGAGATCTTCTCAACTTAGTTTGTAAAGTCAGAGGTTTCTCCATCTCTGTACCTAACGAATGGCATTGGATGAGACAGCCACTTGGGAAGGGTCTTGAATGGGTCTCAGCAATAAATGTCAACAGTGGAGGCAAATGGTACGCTGCTTCTGTAAAAAGCTGTGCCACCATTTCTGCAGATGAGTCGAAAAATGAGTTCTACCTCCAGCTGAACTCTGTGACAGCTGCTGACTCATCTG